ATTCTCCTGCCTCAGCCTCCCGAGTAGCTGGGACTACAGGCACCCGCCACCGCGCCTGGCTAATTTTTTGTATTTTTAGTAGAGACAGGGTTTCACCGTGGTCTCCGTCTCCTGATCTCGTGATCTGCCCGCCTCGGCCTCCCAAAGTGCTGGGATTACAGGCGTGAGTCACCACGCCTGGCCCTGGTCTGTCCCCTTTCTTAAATGCAATCTGCTAAGCTTCTCATCATCTTTATCCAGGGTCATTCTCCCCACCACCCTATGTCCTGGGTAATTGTATCCCATTTCACAGACACAAAAACTGAGACCAGAGAGTGAAGTGGCTCAAGGTCATGGGTCGGTGGGGAGAGTTGAAACTTGAATCTCCTAGGATGTCCGGTTGTCCTGATATTTCATCTTCTGGAAACATCACTGCCTGAATCTAGGAGGCTCGGCGGGTTTTTGTTTGTTTTCGTTTTTTGTGACAGAGTTTCATTCTTATTGCCCAGGCTGGAGTGCAATGGTGTGATCTTGACTCACTGCAACCTCCACTTCCCGGGTTCAAGCGATTCTCCTGCTTCAGCCTCCCAAGTAGCTGGGATTACAGGCGCCCACCACCAAACCTGGCTAATTTTGTATTTTTAGTAGAGATGGGGTTTCACCACGTTGGGCAGGCTGGTCTAGAACTCCTGACCTCAGGCGATCCGCTCGTCTCGGCCTCCCAAAGTGTTGGGATTACAGGTGTCAACCTCTGCGCCCGGCTGGGGGGCTCAGCTTTGAATGAAGCCCCCTCCGTATTAATGCAGAAATGGGACCTAGGAACCAGGCCGATGTGGGTTCAAATCCTGGCCCCGTCTGACCTGCCAAGTAACCTTGGATGACTGACTTCCCCTCTCTGGCCTTGGGTTCCCTGTTTGTAATGTGAGGCCTCCCAGGGAAGATGTCAGTGCGGCCGTCTGGTGACTGGCGTATGCTGAATGTCAATGTGTCTTTCTCCTTTCAGGATGTCAGCTTGCACTGCTCAGAATCAGGAGTTACAGAGGAAAGTCTTGCATCTCGAGAAGCAAAACCTGTGAGTCTGGGTCCTGCTGGGGCAGAGGACAAGGGAAGCAGCCCCAGAGTCCCTTGCAGGAAAAGCAGAGAACCCATGTGATGGCAGAATGACATAGGAAATAAGTTTCACCTATGGGTCGGGTGCGGTGGCTCACACCTGTAATCCCAGCACTCTGGGAGGCCAAGGCAGGTGGATCACCTGACGTCAGGAGCTTGAGACCAGCCTGGCCAACATGGTGAAACACCGTCTCTACTAAAAATACAAAAAATTAGCCGGGCATGGTGGCAGGCACCTGTAATCCCAGCTACTCGGGAGGCTGAGGCAGGAGAATCGCTCGAACTCGGGAGGTGGAGGTTGCCATGAGCCGAGATCACACCACTGCACTCCAGCCTGGGCGACAGTGCAAGGCTCTGTCTCAAAAATAAATAAATAAGGCTGGGCGCAGTGGCTCACGCCTGTAACCCCAGCACTTTGGGAGGCTGAGGCGGGCGGATCACAAGGTCAGGAGATCAAGACCATGCTGGCTAACGCAGTGAAACCTGGTATCTACTAAAAATACAAAACAATTAGCCGGGTGTGGTGGTGGACGCCTGTAGTCCCAGCTACTCGGGAGGCTGAGGAAGGAGAATGGTGTGAACCCAGGAGGCGGAGTTTGCAGTCAGCTGTGATCGTGTCACTGCACTCCAACCTGGGCAACAGAGCAAGACTCTGTCTCAAATAAAATAAAATAAGTAAAATAAAATAAATAAATAATAAAGAGCCGGAGGTCCTTGAAGGATGGATGGAATTTGGACTTTAGTGGGGCTGGGGGACCCCGGAAATGGACGAGAAGCAGGACCGAGGCCCTTTAGGGCTCAGCGGAGGCCTGCCTGTCTCTCTAAGGTCCCTCTTGGAGCAGCTGAAGAAACTCCAGGCCATTGTGGTGCAATCCACCAGCAAGTCAGCCCAGGCAGGCACCTGTGTCGCGGTGAGTCCTGGTGCCCCCAGGAAAGCCGGGGACCTAGGCTTCAGCAGAGGGGCCCATAGGGAGGTGACAGTGAGTCCAAGCTCTCCTCGTGCCACAACTCTAGTATGATCCAGTCTGGTCTTTGGGGCCTCAGTTTCCCTGCCTGTGGGATGGAGGTGCTTGCAGGGGAGGGGAGGGAGGGGGTGACCCTGCTGCTGTCTCCACCAGGTTCTGTTGCTGTCCTTTGCCCTCATCATCCTCCCCTCCATCAGCCCTTTTGGCCCCAACAAAGCCGAGAGTCCCGGGGACTTTGCGCCTGTGCGAGGTAGGGGATCCCCACCTTTGAAACCCTCGTCTGGGCTCCCCAAGTCTCCGTCCTAGGCCTCTGGGGGAGGGGAAGAAGACCCCTGTGCCCCTGTTCCCTGAGGCTGGGGGCCAAGGAAAGGAGCATAGGACCCCACCTCCACCTTGTCCCCTGTGATG